TTTTTTTCATGATGCTAAGAGGAACAATGTCCCCTCAATAAGGTTCAGCTATAGTTTAGTTATTCTATATAAATGCTAAAATTAATCTCAGTTGTGAACATATTTGCTTTGCTTAAGCAAATTATATATATATAAAAATATATATATATATATATATACACTATTTTAACTAAAGCCTAAGTGTCTTCGTCGTATGTATATATAATAAGTATTGTACCATGATGATGATAATAATAATAATAAATGCATGAATAATTAAATCTGGTGCATTTCGTAGGTAGTTTAAACCAATGTTTTTATGTTTAAAAAGCCTATTACAATTATGACAAAATGACAATATTTTTGGTGAGTTTATAATGTAATACATTTCTCATAATGTAATAATTGTTATTACATTATGAGCTCAAGATTTTATTACATTTTGAGAAAATTATTACATTATGAACATTTTATTACAATAATAATGTAATACTTATTACATTATGTGCAGTTATTACATTGAGTTGCTACAGATATTAAGTCTTGTTCTGAAAAATTTATGTTTAAAATATATTAAACAAATAAAAAAAAATATCTACCAGTGGGGTATGAAAAATAAATAATTCAAAGGGAAAACAAGACTATTGTTCTTACACCACTGACGGATATGTTTCTTGTTTTAAGCATAAAAACTCACTTAGTTTTGATAAATTATTTTGAAAAACAAGACGTAATATCTCGCATCGTTTTGTTTCTCAAGTAAATGTAACTTAAGACTATTTGTTGTTTTTTATGTGTACTAGAAAATGACATCTAAGAATAGCATTTTTGCGGTTAAAATAGAAATCTTTTCTAACATTCTAAATGTCTTTACTGCCACTTCTGATCAATTTAATGTGTTCATACAGAATAAAAATATTAATTTATTAATAAATGTGATCAAACGTTATGTGCTTTCTAAGCCACACTGCTCTTACCATATCAGCCAAGGCGATGTAAAGGAACATGCCACCAGCAAAGGCAAAGATGATGCTGGGGGCAAAAGTGCTACCCAACAAGATACCCAGGACCAGGCCCAAGTAGCAGGACATAGCAGACAGCAGGTTGAAGAAGACGGCCTGTGGAACGCTCAACCCTGCGTTCAGCAGGATAATAAAGTCGCCTACAGGGGGAGACAGAACACAAATGTGCTTCACATGTGTTTTTTTTTTTCATGAAGGTCAACATTCAAAGGGCAGCAACCAGTCACAGAGGTGGTTTGGTGCAGCTGACAACATTTCCGGTTGAGTAAATGAGTCCGTATTTTTCTTACCCAGCTCATGAGGGAATTCCTCACAGACGATAGCGATAGAAGTGCTAAAGCCGCTGAGAACAGACACGGTGAACGAAGCGCCGATGGCCAGTCCGTCAATGAAGTTGTGGAGAGCATCGCTGAGGGAAATCATCCATGCCACCGTCTTCACGCTGGCCAGCCGTCTTCCTCTGAGCCATCTGCAGGACCCCTGCAACGACGTTCACATCTATATTAAAACCTCATTTCGTACTATAACAACATCTCTTGAGCTTCAACCCTGGGTTCATATTTCAAACACTATTTACTTTTAGCCCCGAGGTTTAACTTTTTGTATTGTTGCAGGGGCGAAATGACGATCCCAATTGCATGGTGCTCGTGATGTAGGTCAAAGGGCAGAAGACGATCTTGTTTCTGCTGGCAGCTGTGACAGATGAAAGTAAACACAGCTGTGTGTGTCTCTACGGCTGGACTGTAAGTTGCACTGACCTTTATTTGATCTTGCTGAAGGAGAACTGTTATGACCCAAGATTCTGTAACAGCCTGGTCGTCTTGACAAATAATGATTATTTATCTCCGTTTGATAATGACAGACACTTTCAAGTAATCTTAAATTGCTTACTGCTGTGATAATCAAACAGTCTTTATAGATATCATAAAAATTAGAGGTGTTTGCTAATCCAAGCATTACTGATATAATGAATGAATGATGCATTTATATAGCGCTTTATTGTGTATTGCTGTACACCCAAAGCGCTTAACAATCATATGGGGGGGTCTCTCCTCAACCACCACCAGTGTGCAGCATCCACTTGGATGATATAATTGCTTATATGGGGATTTGAATAAATCTATACGATAACAATCAAATTATTAGTTTTAAAATTTGGTGCATAACTTTTCCTGCACAGTTCGTGCTGCAGACATTAAGGCTGCACAAAAGTAAGCACAAAATCCTGCAAACTTACATTTGAGGAGGTTCCTGCGCCCTTTATAGAGAGCAGACTATCATAGAGACTTGAGGAGGTGGGCTCTTTAAGAGCGTGCAGAACACCTTAGCAAACGCAACGCAATTCCTTGGCATCCTGTTTTTTTGCATGGACAAGCACCACAGAAAATGTAAAA